GAAGATAGGAAGCAATTTGGAGAGAAACATGCAGCAATCAATACTGTTAACAGAATTTTTTTTACATTGCTTGTTAGTTTATTCAGCTTCCTTCCAGAAGGTATAATAGTCATTGTGAAATTGTCCACAGCCAGAAGGAGAAAAAGCAGCTTTGCTCTTTTATTCTTTTTCTCTCTTTTTTTTATTTAATTATTATTCAAGTACAGTTTTCTGTCTGTTACTCCCATCCCAGCCCACCTCCCCAGTGCTCCCCACCTCCCTCCCATTTCTACCCCCCTTAGTTTTTGTCCATGTGTCCTTTATACTTGCTCCTATAAATCCTTCCCCTTTTCTCCTGAAATTCCCTTCTCTCTCACCTCTGGTCCCTGTCAGCCTGTTCTCTATTTCAGGGTCTTTGGTTATATTTTGTTTGCTTGTTTGTTTTGTTGTCTAGGTTCCTGTTAAAGGGGAGATTATATGATATTTTTCTTTTACCACCTGGCTTATTTCACTCAGCATACTGCTTTCCAGTTCCATCCGTGCTGTTGCAAAGGGTAGGAGCTCCTTCTTTCTTTCTGCTGCATAGAATTCCATTAACAGAATTTATCGATGAGCTCTATATACTCAACACCCCAGTGTGCTGTGGTCCACACTGCCAGCTCTGACACAAAGCGTGTGCCATCCCAGAGACAAAATAATATCACTAAATCAAATTGTACTCTGATCTCTTTTCTGAATTGAAAGTTCTGATTCTAGTACAAAAATAGGAAAGCATCCACAAACCATTTTCATGTTTGTAGGGTCTTTTAGGGACATAGGGAAGCAGTATCTCATGTTTCAAAATGACCCAGCCAGTCCTCATCATGCAAATCATCTTATCCAACTCCTGTACGCAACTTAATTAGGTGTTTCTCTTCTGTAGTATGATTTTGTATTTGCTTTTCCTGTGAATGAGTTCCTCTTAAATAGACCCTAAGCAGAAAAGGCAAGGACTGTTTATTTTACTATGCTCGCAAGGCTGTGTATAGCAAAATTATAAACAGCATGACTTTGGGAGAAAAATTGCTGTTTTCGAGCCCTTGCTTTACCATTTACTAGCTGTGTGACCCGAGAGCTAGGATTAGGGTACATAGGGCCCTCACCTTGGGTGCACAATTTAAGGGAGTGCTCAAAACATCAGTAATCACAATATAATGATTAATAGAATATTTTGAAAATCAACATTTTGGGAAAATCCATGACAAACAAAATATCAACATTTTAAATAAAGGCAGGCTATTGTTTGTTTGTTCTGAGACCCAGCTATGCTGTTCGGGGAGTAGTGTTTTCCAACCAGTCTGTGCTTCCTGAGCCTTCAGGGCATTGTGTCCCCAGCAGGTGCATGTGTAAGAGTTGACAGAGGAGAAGAGATTGAGCAATGCACGGCTTTATGTAGCAATTTTTTAAAAACCTAATTGTAGAATTTTTGTCAACTTTTTCCACTTAGTCAAAATATGGGAGGGTAGTTTCATAAGTGCACACAGGGGCATGTGTTTTTCCTTTTGTCTTGGAATTCGCATCTTGGATATGTTGCCAAATGTGAGCTTTGATTACCTCACCTATTAAAGGGGCTCATTTTAGTGCTGACCTCGTAGTATTGTGATGAGCTGTAAATAGGGTAACACAACTACATAGCTTTGCACAGTCCCACACGGAGTAGGTATTAAAAACTAATCTCTAAATTCAAAGGGCTAGTTTTATGACTCTCCATAACTCCTTAGTTTAGTCAGGCAGATAAGGAATAGTCATGAGGAAGCTGACCCTCAGCTGACCATCACTGACCATCAGAGAGGCTGGAGGGCAGTCAGTCTGTATTACGTAATTGGTGTACTGCATGTCAGGGCTAGTAGAGGTTAGTTGGTTCAATCCACATTTTCCACTAAATCATAAGGGTCCATCAAATTGAGAGTCCCATGAAGTTTTAGATATGTTTACTTATACTTTTAAAAGTTGCCAAAATTGTTTCTTTAAAGAACAAGAAGAAAAAAACAGGCAAGAATAAAGACTCTACAAAATAAGATTCCCTTACCAGTCTGTTTCCTGTGAACCCTAAGACTGTTATTAGCAGGTAGCAGTTGAACTATATTTTATGACCCCTAGAGTCATAGTGGGTATGACTGCCAACGGCCCTTTCAATCAGCAAATTGCCCACACCTCTGGAGTATATAATTTACATAAAGGCCTCTGGCCTCTAAGAATTTCTTTTAATTTTTTCATTTCTGATATTCCCTAAAGGTTTTTATTGTGTGTAAGCGTGATGATTTGGTTTCCATTAGCATGTTCTGTGTCTGAGGCTTATTTGCCCCTGGTCCTGGGCATCCCTGCTTTTTGGTGCTGTGACTCAAGTACCTTCTTACTTTGTTCTTACTTTGTGTGACCTTTGAGTAAGTTACTTAACCTCAGCTTACTCCAGATTGCTGTAAAGAGTCAATAAGAACTGGTAGGTATCCCTGGCTGGTGTAGCTCAATGGATTGAGCTTGGGCCTGCAAACCAGACAACTGTGGTTCAGTTCCCAGTCAGGGCACATGCCTGGGTTACAGGCCAGTTCCCAGCAGGGAATGCATGAGAGGCAACCATACATTGATATTTCTCTTCCTCTCTCCTTCCCCTCCCCTCTAAAGATAAAGAAATAAAATTTTTAAACAAAACAAAAAAACCCTGGTAGGCACAAAATAGATGGTGGGTGGGTGAGAATAGTACAGGAAATGGAGAAGCCAAAGAACTTACATGTATGACCCATGGACATGAACTGAGGCAGGGAGGGAAGGTGCAAAGTGGAGGGGGATAAAGAGGAGGGAAAAACAGGACAACTGTAATAGCATAATCAATAAGATATACTTTAAAAGAGAGAGAGAGATCTTCCAGGCAGGAAAAAAGAAAAAGATAAGACTTTACCCAGTGTCTTACCCAGTAGGTGCTAAATAAATTTAAGCTATGACTAAGAATATAAAATTTTAGTAGTGGTGGCAGCATGATATGGGTGTTAATATTTCTCCCTCTCCCAGCTCCAGACATTTAAATGTTCACCTGCTTTAGTCTTTTCCACCTCTCCTCCCATTTGCTGTGTGAAGGGAGCCACTCATGTGCAGTCTTTCTTTGGCCCCTTTACAACTGAGATTTGAGATTCTTTCAGGATTTCTGGATCTGGTAGGTCACAAGGCATACTTGGCAACTGAATCCCCTCTTTCCCAGCAAAGAAAAAAACCCTTCCCTCTATAAGAGTCAACTGTGCCCCCTCCCCCCCAAAAAACCCACAATTAAACAAAAACCTTTGAATAAATTGGGATTTTGTTTGTTTTGTTTTTAGTGTATCTTTCCTCCACCAATTAAATCACCCCGTCTAGTTACACCCAGCTATACACTAAAGGAAAAGGCATTTTCCAGATCTGCAAATGCTGAGTAAAATGCCACCCAGTACTTAAAGCTAATTTTGCAGCCCTTGTCTCCAGAAAATAAGTTCTCTCCCTTTAATTTTCTATACCGTTCTTCATTAAGAAGGCAGCAGAATAGACTTGTAGGTCCTTCTTTATGTGGCTATAAAGGTGTGTAATTCGCTGTTTGTAAAGCTGATACCAATCTTAGCCATACTCACTTAAAGAATTGAGTCTTACATAAGATTTTCTAAGTATACTCTGGAAATATTTATATGAACTATTTAAGAAGTCTATGTTCATATCTCTACTGTTTCTGCTCCCAGTCCATACTTGAATTCTCTCACCTGGCTTCCACTTCTTCTGCCTGACTTGGATTCAGGGTAGAAGAATCCAAATCAGATCTTCGTTTTCATGATTTCATGGCTTCTTCCCCATCAGATGCATTCCTGTTCACTCTTCTCCACTTCAGTTCCCTCCATTTCCCCTGAGCCCTATGCACGAGTTTCACCTGTTGTTTAGAGGCAGACCAGTGATTCTCAGCTCTGTTTCCTCTGAACACCTTCAAAAACAATGCCCCAACCTAGGTCCCTCCTCAGAACAACTGAGTTCAAGTCTCCAGAGGAGAAGCTTATGCATCTGAATGTTTTTGAAGCAACTCAATTGAGAATATGGAGTTATACTAAATGGTATAAGGACATAACCCTTCCTTGACCCTTGTGCCCCTCAAGAGTCCTCTCCTCACTGGGCCCTTAGCACAAGTACTGACATTGACCAACACTGTGATGCCCCCAGGACCTTGTCTGTGGGAATTCTGAGTAGGGCAAGAATAACGAGAGCTTTTCTTCACAGACCCAAGAAAGGATATGGAATAGAGAAGCCACATGCTCCAAACGAACTCTGATCTCCAAAGTTCAGATTAATATTTACAGCCTACTCTTCATGTATCTTCTTTGAAGGTAGCTCCAACACAGAAACAAGGGCAGAAGGAGCAGGTCCATGACTGAGTAAGGAGGAAAGGAGGTGACTACAGTGCAAAATTTAAGGAGGCACTCACCCTCAGGTGCTTAGCCTCCATTTACAACACTGAGAGTGAGTGCCTCCTTAAATTATGTGACTTAGGAGTCTCCTTACCTCATCCTAGTCTTGGCCTTAAAATGAGACCTTTTCTAAAGTAATGCTGGGAAGAGAGGGCAAAACTATAATCATTCAGTTCAGCTGAAAATTTTAAAAGCAAAGCTTATAAAGCCTTCTCAGCATATCTTAGCACTAAAATTTGTGAACCTGAAAGGAGAATGATGATCTGCCAGTAGCCCCCAGTGGTGTGCCCTTCAAATCTCACCTCAGACATGCAGCTTAGACAGGGTTACAAAGGGGAATTCCTAATAGAAGAGCAGCAAGTTTTTATTTATATTAGGAGATGGTGACAGTAGTTTTTAACTGAAAGTCAAGTATAATGATATTTTGTCCAGTAACATACTAAATAGCTCTTAATTTCTTTATTCATAATCTCTATTTTTACAGTATATAAATGAGTTAATACTTGTGGAATACCTGGCTCCGTGCTGGCACAGTTGAGTGTCAATAACTGGTAACTGTTTTTCTGACAGGAGGATAATGGAACCCAGGAAACGCTCATCACCCAAGGTCAGCTCATCAGCAATTCTATATCATTTAAAGACAGAGTCAAGCTAGGGGCAGACTACGGGCTCTACCTCTCTCCAGTCCAAATCCATGATAACGACCGGAAGTTCTCTTGCCAAGTTACAATCAGGCCTGGCAAAACCTTGAGGAGCTCTACCACGGTCAAGGTTTTTGGTAAGAGTTTTTGTACTCTGCACTTCCTACCACCCTCCTGTCAGTGTTGCCTGCCTACCTTTTTCCCTGGAGAGGAAGCAACCTGTTTCACCTGGAGTAGCCATGAGAGGGTAGCTATTCTGAAGGTCTGTTTACCTTGATACTTGTCCTTCGTGTTGGGGGTGGGGATGAGGGTAAGAAGTAAAACAGTGATGATTCAGTTTATAGGCTGAAATCACACAGAAAGCTGTACGTTGGTAAGTTTCCTGGTGACCACCCCCTTATTTACAATTTTAATGTTTCCCAATAATACTGGAAATCTCGTTAACTATAACTGCCAAAGTGTAATTACTTAATTGTCTAAGTGTCCGAGTTGCTTGCCAGAGCAGGACAGGATAAGGTCAGTGTAAAGAAAGGAAGATGATAAACACAGTGCCAGAGAAGCTCTGCACGCCCTCACCCTCGCGCTGAGGCTGCCTGTCCAGCTCCTCCAGCAAGGAGCCTGTGGGGTCCAGATTTGGGGGGAAATGTGAAAATTCTATTTTGCTCAGTGACGCAAGGAAATACGAGTCAACAGAATTCTCTAGCTTTGAATATTTTTTTCATCTCTGTGACAAAGAACTGTGTTTTTTAAAACAGCATTTTTCAGTTGAAGCAAAGAGAAAAGCAGTATGTGGATGAGCAATTAATCGTTTTTGGAAATGCTGTAAACAAAAGGAAATTAACTTTACAAAATATAAGTCATGAATGGCAGAACAAGTTAGGAAAATCTTTGCTTTTACTGTTTCCTTAGAATCTATTGCATCATTATTAGATGTCATACAATTCAATATTTTACAGGAAATGACAGCCCTGTAGCTCATAACAATGGAGTAGCTACAGCAATAAATTAGTACAGTTTGAAGCCTCTGGCTTATAGGTTTTCCTATATTTCTCTCTCTGGCTCTCATCCTTTTCTTCCTGCCCTCCTCCTGCCCCCACTTCCCTTGGTCTCCAACTCTCCCCGTGGATAGGCTGGGAAATAACCCATTGCCTCTAATGGTCAGGTTCCTTAGGAGCCCAAACAATGTCCTATGAAAAGTTGGAAAAGACTGTTTATTGATTATTACCTCAGCTCTCTCACCAAGGCGTGACTGTCTTAGCACAAACATGAAACGGGTTCATCTGTCCTGACTATTAGCAAATCAATGCAGGCAGCTATCTGGGTTGTGCAAAGAAATATCAGTTCTAAGTAAGGCAAACCATATTCCATTTGACTAAGGGTTTTTGCACCATAATTTGATCTAATTGCCTTGTCAACAGTGAAATTGTGTCGGTATTTCTTGGTCTTAAATGCTTTTGACTCTCACATATCACCCTTATCAACCTACCTGTCTATTCATTTATTTTAATATTGCTGTTTCTTCTTTGAACTCCTTTCAGTAGATGTTTAAAAATATGAGACCCTGTCTGCTTGTTGATTGAATTAGATTTCCCCTGTTTCATGGGCTTTCTCCTTTAGCAAATGGGCTGGCTAGGTTGTGTCAGGATAGTCTCATCTAGCCTTGAATGTATTGAGTGCCATCTGAACATATATTATAGTGGCCCAGGCACAGAAGTACAATACATGTCTTATTCAGAACTCATTCTGCATCCCTTGGTGATTCCTCAAGTAGAATGAGCCAAGAATGAGAATATGAAAACCTTAAATACCCAAGTGTACCACAGACCCATTCTACGTGCCCTAGATACAGCTTATGTCCTCTTCCTGAACAATGCCTTCATTCTCTAACATACATGCCTTCACTCCCCAGCAGACTAGGGATCAGAAGCTTGCCCAGCTCCCCTGTTGCTTCCTTCATCTCCCATATTATTCTCCCTTAACTTTACTTTTCTTCATGGGAAGTCACGTACCATTACAAGTTTGCTCTTCCCCAGTCCTTGGCTCTGCACCTGATTGTCCTGAACCTCAGAAAGAATCTCTATCAACCCTATAACTTAGTGATTTTTCTTCCTTTCACATTCTTCCTTCTACTGGTATTGGTTGCTAATGGCAGGTCAGAAATACACCTCCTTTCATTGATGTTCTATGATTATATCTTGGTTTGGGTTCCCCTGAAAGAAAACAATGAGGGAAGGATGTGAGTTGAATTTATTCATTTGAGAAGTAATCCTGGGAAATATCAGAAGAGGAAGAAAAAGATTATCAGAAGGGAAGATAATAGAATGAACGTGATCAAGCTGTGGGCTTGGAGCTCAGTCCCTGGGGAACTCTGGGAGACCATGCACCAGAGTTATCCCAAAGGAAGACCAGGAAGCTGGGGTATTATTCACCAACTCCCCATCTTTTATCACTATAAACTCTCTGGGACTTCTAGTTTGCCCTACTTGTGGACTCAGTGTTCTCTCCTAACCCCAATAAATCCTTAGGGGAGAATCACAGGTGTGCCCAGCAAGCGGCCTCAGCGAGTAGAGGTAAATGACAAGTGGGTTTGGAGGCAGTAACAGCACCTACGGCACGGTCTTCCTACTTCCTCCACTGCTTCGTAGGTGGCTTTGTCTGCTGTACTCCAGAACTTACTTAAAACCACTTAAGTTCAACATGATGTGCTCATTGTCTGCTTTGTACTGGGCTTTGTTAAGTGCTTGAGAGGAAGAGATGAGTAAAACAGCCTGGCTTTGAGGCACCTAGAAACTAGCAGGACAACAAAATCACTACAGGAGTCCCTCATATTTTCTAGTGCCAAACAACTGAAGTATCAAGTGTTTTTCATGTCCTTTTCAGAGGCCTATAAATTACATTGTATTTATAGGCCTTTGAACACGTAGACTACTCCTTTCTATACTCTCCCGACCCCCTGCCCCTCCCCTCCTCCACTTTCCCCATTTCACCTGACTCACAGATAATCATCATTCAAGTATCAGATTTTTCATCTTTCAAAAGCGTCCTCTTGTACCCCAAGGTTGGGTTAGCAGCTTCCCTTAAAAGCATTTTTTCAAATCCCGCATGTCCTCAATTATGGTACTTATCTCAGTGTGTTCTAATTTCTAGTTTGTCTGTATTTTTCATGAGAATATAAATTTCTTGGAGACAGTGAAGACAATTTTCCCACCTTCATTTCCTAAAAATCTAACACAACAGGTGTTTAACATCTGACAAACATGAATCTTGCATACACATGCACACATGTGCACACACGTGGCCTGGTAACATGGAGTTCTGTGTCACTAACTGTGTTTTCTTTGCCTTTAAGCTAAGCCAGAGATCTCCATGATTATGGGAAATAACTCCATGGGAAAGGTGAGTCACATTAAAGCCTTTGAAAATCTGCAGTATATAACATGCCAAGGTGTGTGAGGTCACATTGTTGCTCAGAATGTTTTTTCAAAAGATCTTACTCCTTGGCCCTCAACCAATTAATTCCTAATGAGGAAGAAGGGAAGCTGAATTGCTTCTGGAAACCTAAAGGGAATTCTTACTGTCTGACTTTGGACTCTCAGAGCATGTGATCTGTGATCCCAAGTCCTTAATATTTCTGGAAAAAAATAGTCTCAATAGCTTAAATTTCTATTTTTGATAAAGATTGAAGCAGATAGTGAAGGAAAAGTAGGGCAAAGAGCAGTGTGAATCCTGGTGAAAGAATGAGTTTTATGCTCAGCAGACATTTAATTTGTTCAGAGCTATTTCCTGTACCAGCTTTCCCATTGTTTTTATTTTGAAGTTAACCGGAAGAAACCTGTCCTTATATACCCTTCAGAACCTGGGCTATTTCTTAGGCAGTAGGAGACCAGGCAAGAGAAAAGGGGAAGTAAAGTAGGCCCTCTGCCCTCAGTTTATAGTAGGTAGTTCCCAGCCTCTAATCACTGGAATCTGAGCTCGCTTACCAGCTCTTCTTCCCCTTGCTGGCTGCGACCATGGGCAAATTAGTTCATATCTTTGTCGTTGCTTTCCCACTTATATGAAGGGGATAAAACAAGTATCTGCACAAGTACTGTTGTGGTTTTTAAAACGATGTGTGAAAAGTTCTTAGTATATAGTGTGGTGTATATTAATTGCTCAATAAACATCATTTTATTGTTTTGTTGCTATCACTATTGTTTGTGTTAGCTATTTTGTAGCACTATAATTTCATTCTAGCTTTTCAAAACTTCAACTAGGAGAAATAACCACATTAACTCTCAAGCATTTTCTGTTACATGGGATGAGAGAAAATTATACTCATATTCTGTTTCATTTCTAGTCCCAAGACTGTTAAATAACTTATGATTTCCAGTCCTGCTGAATATCACTAATTTAATTTGACAGTGGAATACAAATCCCCATTGTATTTTTAATAACTTATGAACTCTTTAAATAGCTCAGACTCTGTGGAATGGTGTCAGGTGAGTATATTTATGCATTATCCAAGTATTTGTGTCTTTTGTTGATTTTACATATTAATCTTTTAGATAATTGCCATTGTAGTTCTGAGCATATAGAAAAAGATTTTAAATTGTTTTGCCACAAATAATTTCCAATTTTGACAGTGGGCTTTATTTCAATAATTTAAATAAAACAAAAAAAAAATCTAATGGTACAATATTTAGTAGGTGTTTTTGTTATAAGGATTTCTTGTAGGTTCTTGGTGTCAATGTTTATGGGTAATATGTACTCAATCAGATATGTAACCATAAAATTCAACCCAAGAATTCCAGTTTTAAAAGGAAGGACTTTGTCTTCCATGTTATCAAATTTCCTCTTCTGTACCCATGTTTGCCTTGGGGCTGGGAAGGAAAACCTTAGGCCATTCTTTCCTGGGGAATTAGTGAACACTCTCTCACCAAATCCACATAACCAGCTACAGGACACAGCTTGTCTTTGGATCTTTTAACAGCCTGCTGAACATTATAGATTCCTCATGCTAGTATTCTTATAATCCCTTTTGTATTTTTAATAACTTATAACCTCCTTAGATCCTTTTTACATGCTTTTAACCTGAGATGCTCCTAATGAGCCTCCAAAATAGGTAGGGTATCTGGCATTTTATACATGAGCAATCAGGACCTGGAGAGTCTGAACCACTGGCTGAGGCACTAATAAGGGGCCCACCTGTGATGAAACTTCAGCGTGCAAATCCAGGCCAGGGGGCATAATGAAAGGAGTCAGCTTCAGGGGCAGGTAGAGCTAATGGCAAATCCTAATTTGACCACTTACAAGCTACATATCCTCACCGAGTAGTTAACCCCCATGAGTCTCAGCTAACTCATCTCTAAAATTGGGGTAATAATAAATATTTCACAGAGTTCTTAGGTGAATTAAATTTATGCACAGTAATGAAGTACATGACACAGAGTAAATGTCTCAGGCATATTTCTTTCCTCCCCACTATTTATCATTCACTCACTCTCTCTCACTCCTTCCTTCCTCTCCATTTACACTCATAAATCTACTATGTGATTGATTCTAGGAGACAGTACAGGATAATGTAAAAACAGACATAGATGTTGGAATCTGATAGACCTGGGTTGAATTCTCATCCATTGCTTCCTAACTCTGGCCCCTGGAATCCCAGTTCTCTAGCTTTCTTGTCAGTGAACAGGGACAGCAATCCCAACATCACAAGGATGATGTAAGGATCCAATGAGAGAACATATGCAAAGAAGCTACCACCTGGCTACCATAAGTGTTGGGCAGTGGAAATTTTTCTACCCCCTCCCTTCATTCTCTAGAATTACTAAGTCAACACGCAGGTGTTAAATGCCTACTATGTGCTACATATTCACTACCCCAGCAGTGCTCATCATTGTTAGAACAACAGGGATTTGGTCAGTCATGAGTAGTGTTTTCCTGAATTACTAGTTAAAGTTTTAAAGTTTATAGTTAATTTAGTTATCCTGTAAAATGGAAAAGCCCCAGGTTATTCTAACAATGATGCCTCTCAGGCTTGGACAGGCCAAGAATGTCCAAGTGTCACACCTGTGGATGTTATGTTCTTGTGCGTTCCTGAGAGTGAAGCTTCACCAGGGTTCCAACATGGCGTGTAACTTGTCTTCATAGCTGAGATGGAAAAGGGACCTTCAACTTAAACCTCAGGGGCCTACCACAGAGCAGATTTTTACCTTAAAGCAAAAGGTGCTGAGAAAGAACCCCTCAGCCCAGAGCCACTGGCCCCTCACCCAGCTCTGATGATGCAGCAGAAGAAGGCACAGAGATGCATGAAAATTCCAGAAGTGACTCAACAGTTCAGTCTCTGCACAAGCCACAAGCGTCTCTTTTACACCTGTGCTTTATACTGTCACTCCATCATTTCCATAGGTCCTGTCCTTGTCACTCCTAATCTTTATTATGTTTGACAAAATTTAGGGAAAATATAAGGAAAACTACCTTGAACATGAAACATAGGGAACAGAAGCAGTTAGTGTTTAATGCCTAAGAAAGAAGGGAATAATAAGAACCATATAAAACAGATACCATAAGCTAAAAAACACACATAGAAGTTAGCAGGATAGTGCTAGTGGCTATTTATGGTATTTGGTATTTTGTTTATTTAACTTTGGTTATTTTAATTTTTGTTTATTTAGTTTTGGTAAAAGCCTGAATCTTAGTCGATTCCTTGACCTTCTTAAACAACATTCTGCGTGAGTGTGTGTGTGTCTGTGTGTGTGTGTGTGTAAGATTAGGTATACGTATTGTGGCCTCTTTTCTCTTTCTCTAGCATACTGTGGCACAGTAAGGCTCGAGTCCAAGTGCTTGGCCATCTGTCTGCCAGCTGCCATTGCCATTGCAGTGGTTCAGGCCTGAGCTTTCTCCACAGCTGGAGAAGGACCTCGGAGGAGAACCACATCCTGGTGGGGAAACCACATGGGAGGTGACATTTGTAATACCAGTCACATTTCCAGGGAAAAGGGGGGATTACAGGGGTACAGTACAGCCTGGGTTTTTCACAAGCCTGGTGTTTGAACTTCTGTCTGTTCCACGAACAGCTCACAGGGAAGACAGGTCCGTTTGTCAGAACTGCTGCCGGACTCTAAGAACAAGCAGTCAGACAGATGCGCTTAGGACTGAAGGAGGGAAGACACCGTTAGTGCTCCAGGATCTTGTCCACGTTCAGGGACGACAGTGCCCATAAAGTACCAAGGCTTCTACAAGACAGTGAGATACCACTGACTTTATCTCTTCTTGTTTTCCCCAGCTTTCATCATTCCTCTTCTCTTATTCCCACCTTAGGTGTTTTTTTAAATAGATTCTAGAGGAATCACCCAAAACAAAAGTCAGCTCTAGCACAAAGGCTGAATAGTTTCCACTTTGATTTTATTCCATCCCTGAGTTAACATTTTAGGTGTTTCTTCAGAACCCGGGGAATCTATCTCTTCTATGCACTGTTAATCTTCCTTAAAAACAAAAACATCTCTGGAAATTTAATGAGGAATTGTTTTTTTTTTAATCTGAGAACAATGGATGGATATGCAGTTAGCATTTCAGAGGCAGAAAACATAATCCAAAAACTACTGCTCAAATGGACACATGTGTCCTCTGGAAATAAAACAAAACAACCTAATAACTCACTAAAACTGACTTCAGAATCTGAGAAAATGCTCTTCATCCTCTTCTTTCCCAGGCCATCATGGTTTCTTTTATCACGCGGCGGTGAATTTTTTCATGAGAGCTGTCTCTCTTCTTCTGTGTTCACATTCTTCCCTATCCCTCTTTCTTTCTTTTTTAACTTTTCTGCCTCTGGTCTGTATCTCTCCTATTTACCCCACCTCTCCATCTATTTACATTTGTTTTTGAGTTGCTTTCATGTCTTCTTCACTAACCCTTTCTCCTTTAACAGACCTTAATATGAGACTAGATTCTATTTTAACCATTTAGAAAAAAATTTCTATGTCCTCTATCTTTAATGTTTAATTCAAAGATGTTGTAGACTCTTTAGTTCGCTCTGTGCTAATTAAGCATTAATTACTTATGTATGAAGTTGTTGAAAAAACTTGCAAGATTCAGACAGGTAATAGTGAGGGAACAGCTTTAATAAAAGTGATGGGACAGCACTACGCCAATGGGAGGAAGGTACACAGTGGAAAGGTCTGGAAATCTCGGGCCGAAGCTTCTTTGTCCTTCCACTGCTGGATTCCACAGAACAAGCCTTGTATCCAGTTCTCAAATCAGCACCATATGCATACAAACACCTTGGTCCCAGGAAGCCTAAGCTCTGCTCATGCTGGGGGTGCTTAGAGGACGCTGGTCATGCAGGTGCATTCCAGACTGGCTTCAACCAACAAAACCATAACTCCCACTCTTTTCACTCAACAACGGTGACTGCCTGGTACATTCCACCACAAACAAGTCACAGACCCTCAGTGGCAAAACAACATCTATATTTAGTTAGTATATCTTAACGTTTTTTGATTAGTACAGCTCCAAGAACCCTGTAGATAGGCATTTGGTTAGTTCAGACCTGCTGAGATTAACTCATAGTATGCACTCTTTCTCTTAAAAACAAAATCCCACTAAATTGCTTTGCTATATATTTAAGCTGGAACAAAAATGGCTTTTTGCCATGAGTCTAAAGTCAGTGTTTTCAGAATAGATCTCCCCAAAACCTGCTTAAACAAAATGGAAGGGGTGAGCAGCTGCGGGCTGGCCTGTGTCCCTCTGGCAGGCCTCCCTCTCAGCCCTCACCTTCCATTTCATCTCCAGGATGGCCCTTTCCTCCTCCTCCACAGCTCGCTCTCTCCTTTCCACAGCCCGCTCCCGCCACTCCACTGCCCTCTCCCTCCTAAGAAGGTCCTTTTCTCTTTGGCTGGCCCACAAAGCCAGAGTCCCCACCTCCTCTAGGAGCCTGGCCCAGTCGCCCTTAATGCCCATGGGGAGCTGGGGCCCTTGAGCCCTTGGGTCCAGGCCCTTGGGTCCTGGCCCTTGTCTACAGCTTTCCTTCCCTGGCGCTGCCCTGCGTAACTGTGGCCAATCTTCTCCAGTTCCTCTCTGTGCATGCTCTCCAGATTCTTCCACAGGGCGGTGGTACCCACATTCACCCCAGGGCCACGGCTCACCTGCCTTCCACACAGGTGGCAAGTGGCGTATTGGTTAGGGTGGTGCCCAGCGTGACAGGGGCCAGGTGGAAATACTCCCAGGCCTCAGAAAACCGGGTCGCCTTGTTGTGGGGCACTGGGGTGGACATGGCACTCACAAAGGGGCCAACCAGTTCTCTCAGCTCGTGGATCTCCTCCTCCTCCTTTGCCTGTGAGTTCCCTTTTGCACCTGTCCTAGTTCTCTCCTCTTCCTCTTCCTCCCGCCTCATACTATCTCCTTGTCTACAGCTTTCCTTGAGCTAAAAGTCTTAGTTGAACCACAACTATGGCTAACTGTGTATTTAGAAAGAAACTGTGTGACTCACAATAATGATCAAAGAAAGGCTGGCCACCCTGGGGTAATATGTTTTCTCTTTTCGGATTCACTAGAGAGTCAGGGTGACTCAGAGGCCAGCAAAACGGTCTCCAGTGTTCTCCTGCACAGTCCCGTGTGTCCCGGATATGTTCCAATGCCTCCTTGGCTGGGCCAGAAAGTCAAAACAAATTATTGCAACAATTAAAAAGCTAGCTCTTCAGTGAGTTCAGAGTTCTATGTACATCAAACACCACTCTGGTGTTTTTGAATGTTGAAAATTTTAGATTTTCTCCAGGCTGCTTCCACTGTCTCTGTGCTTCTGGACACCTGTGAAACGTGTTTGGAGGCAGGAGGAGCAGCCTCAGGGTCCAGGCTGTTCAGGATGCCCAAGGCTGGAGCTTCCCCAAGTCTCTCTCAGTGTAGCAGCACGCACAGACAGATCCTCATGTGAGAGAGACTCCTGCTTCCTCAGAACTGTTGCAACAAGCAGTCAGAGGCTGAAAAGCCTGCCAGGGTCCAGGTAGCAAAGTTCCTAACACGAGGTCAGTCTATCCCTAGAGAAGTCCTGTGGGGCCGGAATTCTAAGAAATCCAAACAGCAGGCTGAGCTGTTCTTAGCAGGAGGAGCTGGCAGGCACAGAGGAGAAACAGGTGGGACGCATCTCCACAGGCTCAGTGTCACCTGGTGGTCCTGGCAAGAAGCTCTGCACACTCGGCCTTCCCTGGCACCATTACCTGCAGAGCCAATAGCTGATAAGACCTTTCGGACAGCAGCCTACTCCAGATGTTTGGCTTATTTACCCTATTTAAAAAAAATTTAATGGAATGTTATATTACCTTCTAAAAGCAGCCTGACCTCTGACTCCTTATGTGGATTGTTTCTTAAGTGAATGAGAGCCTCATTCATCAAGATTTGCAACTCCAAACAATTAGACACCTGCCAGCCACTGGTGGGTACTTACAGTCGCCAGAGGCTCTGGTCCTGTCTCTGGTGGCTCGGTTGCAGGGTGAGTGCTCCCTGCTCCATGAGTAGCTATTAGTCGGCTCCTGCCCCAGGAGGAGGGTACCTTCAGTTCCTGTCCCCTCCTAGTTTCAAAGGAGCCTTGTTTCCAAGTGGATGTGTCCCTGCCTGTGGGTCTTCCTGCAACAAGAGACACAAATGCAAATATTTCCTCCACCCCCTCCAGCACTAAAAGGATGTTCCTGGCAAATGCCGTGTAATAAAACAGTAAATCCAGCACCTACACTTCTCAGTTTTGTTTCCAGATGACTAGATTATCTGGCTTTCAAGCAAACGAGATTTAAGAGGAAAAGGGTGAATCTGGGCAGGGAAACCACACACCTCAGGGGCATCTGTGGTTTCAAGTATTTTGTCCAATTGTCAGACCAAGAGTCTCAGTCTGGTTTAGAAGCTACAGGTGTTGTAAATACAGTAAGTAAAAAGCCAAAGAACTTGCAGGAAAGAGAAGATTAAATTTTAAAAAAGCAAATTTGAAGAAGCATGGCAAATTGAGAAACAGATTTGGAATTGCTTTGTATTATATTATGTAACTAGAGTTGGAAAAGCTGAAATCCTATTGGTTTCTACTTTGAGTTGGAGTAAAATAAAGGGATAATCACAGTTTAAGCAAAAAGATGTATACATACACGTTATAAATAAATGAATATACATATTATGTTAATTGAAGAAGAAAAGCCTGCTGAGAGGAGACAGAAACATTTTAAAGAAGGTATACTTTGAAGAAAAAACCTTGCATTATAGGAGAAAAGATAGAAAGGGCAAAGTAAAAACTTGTGGAGACAAAGTAAAATTTCAAATGAGAAGAAAAGGGGTAGGGGAGGAGGAAAGACTGCAAATAGGAATGAAGAGTTAGTAAAGACACGGGGAAACTTTGTATAAGATTTCTCTTTCTAAATTAAAAGGTTAATGTTTTCAAAATTCTTCTTTGCAAAGCCATTTAGAAAAAGTTCTGTCCAAAATTAGGGAAACTAAATATGGGTTAACTGACAAATGGTCACCAGTTCAGTATTTCATCCATGGAAATGAGGAAATGATTAGTTTTACAGACATATTTGGATCCATTTTTCCCTGCCCCTCGATCTCCTAGTGCTCCAAACGTCCACTGGCTTGCAGGACCGCATTCCCAGCTCACACCTGGTCTACAAACCCATTTCCTTTGTGCAGCTTTGCAGATTCCTCAGTACCACCCAACAGAGCCCACCTGTAGAGACCGGGCTCATCTCTTCCCTGTCCACAAAGTACAACTCTGTTTCTTAAGTTATTTTCAGATTTCATTCTTCTTGGAACTCCTAAAAAAATGTCCAAACACTTTCTGGCACTTATTACATAATTCTTTGTACTATTGCTCACTTATTCCAGGTGGACTTAGCATAACATGTTGCAGAAATCCATAATTTTGCTTATCTCACAGAAGCAACAGGCACACGATGAGTAAGTTTGTGATTTTACTTTAGAGCAGAGGAGTGTGTCACTGGGTATGCTTGTATGTGTGCACACAGATGTTCATGCATAGTTACTTCTTTTATTTAATTTAACACAATTTCTTCTTACGCGTTTGGGCCAAGTAGAAGTTTGCAAATAAAGACAGCTCCCTTTGTTCAGTAAAACCATACATGCTTGATATTTCTCAAGGTGTTTGACTTCAACTTGAACTAGTGTAGTCTATAGTTTTTCAATTTTAGAGAAACTGGAAGAAGTTTCAGGATAAGACCCATATTCCTAAAGAAAACCTTGGGACACAGTCTAGAGATGGAATACAATATTTGAAATCTGACTTCCGTAAAATCTGAATTCAAAGAATCCACAAGAGCTAAATCTTTTAAACATGTTTATTAAGTTGATGAGAGATTTTTTTTTCAGTGAGACAGCATCTTTGTGAAATAACGGAACCCGCACTGGTTACTGATATTACCACAGCATCATCTTTGGGTGGGTTAACTGACCATGGAAGAAATGAATCATAAGGGTGGTTAAAGGTTGGCATGACGCTTCATTTCCTGTGACTCTTATGTACCTTCCTGCACCACCTTTAGATAATCATCAGTCTTTGGCATTTTATTGGATTAAATAAACTGGATTCTTTTTTCTTCAATACATATTAATATATTTTAAGTGACCTGATTTTACTTTTGATTTTTTAGGGCAGCAAGTGAAATAATTTCACAGATCTGCATTCCTGCCACTGCATGTATCCCCACTCTCAAGGGCTGAATGAGTGGGAAGACTGGGAGCTGCACTGTTTGCTGCTAACCATCTTGGATACACAACAGATAGCTTCCTTAGAAAGTCACATTATTTCCTTGAGATTTTTATAATCACACACTGAGAGATGTTACACTACACCTCAGTAGGATCTCACCAGAGAAATGTAACTCCGTATGTTTAAATTTGGTTTCTCAGCTCCATAGGTGCAGACATTTTGCAGCAAACTAGTCTGTGGGGAAGCTGGCCCACCAAGCATGACGTACAGTGAACTTTTCTCTGTTACTTAACTACTAGTTCTTTATAGTCATCAATTGGAACATATTTGAGAACTAAGAACAAGAACTGGTAATAGGTAAAACTATACCCATCTCTTGATGAGAAAACAAGCAATTACAAGCGGCATTATAATTTTGCAGTATCTCAGATAAAATAATGAGGATCCAATAAAGTCTTATTGGGTATTTTCACCAAGCTATCAAAGAAACCACCATCTCATAAAGAAAAGAGTTTTGAAAATACAACCCTGCCTCTAAACTTTCTAGTGCTGCAGCATAAACTACCTGAGTTTCTTTCTCTCTTGTTTCAATACAATGTGTTTTACTGGGAAATATTTTGGACTGGAATTAGGTAACAGAGTTCCCAATTGGGCGAACAACTATATTCCACTCACCCCCTTCTGCCATTCTGTGAGTCTGTGCCTTGGTTTCTCCACCTGTCAAGTGGCAATAATAAGGTATCACCCACTTACCCTATAGTATTAAGATAATAAAATGAAAAAGGAATTAGGAAAAGTCTCTACAAGTCAAAAGTGAGACTTTTATATTAAGGTGTTACTGTGGTTATTGCTACACATAGTACTTTACATTATTTGGAGAATGGAAACTACCAAAGTGTGGCATTTAGTCTAACACAATATTCTTCTCCAGCTTCTGTTACAGCTTCTTCCTTCTGTCCTTTCATTTCCATTTAGTACTATTTTATTCTGTATGTGTAGTTGTGATTTTCCTCTTTCAAAACCAAGAATCCAAATTTGCAATATTAGTATTATCCTGAATTCTAGTCATTAATATATAACATATGAGAAAATTTTCATACAACCTCTTAAATGTAAACACTGCACTGTTGAAAGTGGAGAAAGTATTCCCTGCTGATTTGCCCCTGGTGAGGCTCAGTGAAGATATAAGAGTCATCTGTTTCTTCCGAATTTGCAAATGATCCTTTCTGTGTCCTGTCTTTGCCCCAGAGAACATTTACCTGCTCACTGAGGAATGTGTTCCCTACAGCGAATCTCACATGGTTTACAGACAGTGGCTTTCCTCGAGGTGAAAGAAAAGGTAAGGAAATCGTCCAGCGGAAACGGGGTGGGCAAAGAAAGAAAACAAAGAATGGTAATAATTGCAGTTGCCTAAGATGATCTTTCTCCAAAACAAACATCACCTTGCCCACCAGGTGCCACTTTCTGGCCCCTTCAGGAGGATGGGCGTAACATTTCCCAGCATGTAAGAAATACAGTTGCTTTCATCAACTTACACATAAACACTAATGTTTCATTTCAGTTGGTAAAAGCAGGTCTGTTACATGGGGGCAAAATGTTTAACTCAACATAAATTTATTAATGCTTTTATATTTAATAATTCATATAGTACCACTTTTTAAGTCAATAAACATGATTTCTGACTTTCTTGTAAGGACCTGGGTGGAGTGGGAGTTAGGGGAACTGGGGGAAGTGCCCAGAAAGGACTTGGCCCTGTTCACCAGTGGGATTAAAAGTTCCTGGAGCAAGAACACATTGAAACAAGCTCAGGCGCAACTGCTCAAAGCTGCAGTTTTCATAGGTGAGGAGCTTGACGGCCTCTGCCAGAATGATCCCAGCCATTCCCTGCCTGGGCATCAGCTCTGCTCCTTTCTCCTGAGTCATTTTTCCTCAAAGTACAATGTATTTTCAACAGTAACTGAATGGCATAGCTCTTACTGCATTACTTTTAATTTAAAAAATTAAAGGCTTATGTTTCTGAATGATTGTGTCTATCTACTTGATTCATTTTGAGACTATTACTGGTTTTTGTTATTAGTTCTTTAAAAGCAGTTCACCCACAATAATGACAGGACATGATCAGGATAATATCTGGTCTTTAAATTTTTATTTATTTATTTATTTACTTACTTATTTATTTTTTATTTACAGAGAGGGAAAGGGAGGGAGATTGAGAGTTAGAGAAACATTGACATTGCTTTGTCAATGTCAAATGTCAATGTCAATGTCAAATGTCAAGCATTTGACAATGCTTTATCAAGTAAGCATTGCTTCTCTCATGTACCTTAGCCAGGGACCAGACCCACATCCCAGGCATGTGCCCTGACTGGGAATCAAACCAGTCACCTTTTGTTTTGTAGGACTATGCCCAATCAACTGAGCCACACAAGCCAGGGCCTGATAATGTCTGTTAAATGTCATTATAGATTTGTTCTCCTGTTAAATAATCCCTGATCTGATGTGCCCATTATATTACTGAACCAAAGGGGTTAGTTTGCTTATGTGCACCAAAGCCCAATAAGATGCAAAATGGGAGCTTGCAGAAAAGAAAAGTAAAGGTTTATTTAGGGAGTGGGCACCAAGACCAGAGGCACGGATGAGGCAGTACTCTGAATGATAATAATTGCAGTTGCCTAAGATGATCTTTTTCCAAAACAAACATCACCTTGCCCACCAGGTGCCACTAAGATGCAGTTCTCCAGTGGCCTCTAGATGATAGATTATATAGGGGGAAATCATTAGTAGTGGTAGCTAAGGGAGTTGGGGTCATGGGCTCTGCTGAGTCATCTGAGCTAGAGCAGGAAGTAGTTGATCACTGCTTCAGGTCTAATGTTGGCTGCTGCGGTGTCCAGCCTGATTTCATGAGCATGTGGTTGGTAGGGATGTTCTGATTTCTCAGGCCTGAGGCTAAACACAACTGAGAGTGAGATTGTTATATTTAGTTTGGCAGAAACTCTGTTATCGTGGTTAATAGACCTGAGGCTTTGTTCTTAAGACAGTTTGATGCTGACCAGAGCCTAATGTCCCAAGGGCTTGATTTTTTTAATTTTATTTTTAATATATTTTATTGATTATGCCATTATAGTTGTCCCATTTCCCCCCTTCCTTCCCCTCCACATTGCACACCCTCTCCCACCCACATTGCCCTGCTTTAGTTCATGTCCATGTGTCATAAGTTCTTTAGCATCTACATTTCCCACACTACTCTTGCCCTCCCCCTATCTGTTTTCTACCTACCATCTATATTGCTCATTCTCTGTACCTTCTCCCCCCTTCTCCTTCTCCCACTCCCCTGTTGCTAACCCTCCATGTGATCTCCATTTCTATGGTTCTGCTCCTGATCTAGCTGTCCGCTTAATTTGCTTCTATTTTAGATGTGGTTGTTAATAACTGTGAGTTTGCTGTCTTTTTACTGTTCATATTATTCATATTTTTATGTTCTTTTTCTTGGATAAGTGCCTTTAACATTTTATATAATAAGGGCTTGGTGATGATGCTTAATGATGAAAGGAATGGACGTGCAGTGTGTGCAGAGGTGGAAGGGGCTGGGAGAGGAGGCAAGGGAGTCATAGCACTGTGAGGCTGGACAGAGCTCGTGTAAATGAAGGAGAAAATTATATTAAAGCACTGAAGCTCCTGTGCAGTTACAATCATGCTCCCAACCATAAGACCAGCGAGTGTGGTCAGATAGCTACCGGTATACAACTCCAGTTAGTGCTGAGTTGGCAAGTAATAACTTCAGAACGAGCATTTGGGACCTTTAACGTAAAGAAGCTGTGAGAATTTAGAAAGTCCTGGCCTATGGTGACAGATGGTTTTACATTAAATTCCTGCTGCCATGTAAGCTATTTGGAGGTTGTACTAGCGGTGGCAGTTAAATAGGTTCCTATTTCTAAAAAAGACTCATGGGACCCAAAATGACAATGGTTATAAATCTAAAGCTTATTGCAGGAAAAGGGTACAATACAGCAGTGCCACTAAAGTAAGAATATGCATCACTTGTACATTTACAGCAAGGGGTCTGTTGATGTCAGGTCTGGTCCTTTGTCCTCTCTTTATAAGGGGGACTTGGGGAACCACCGATAGGGCACAGAACACCTCACAAGTGGGGACCCCAAAATGGAGGCTCAGCCAAGGTCATTTTGTATTCTCCTGGTCACTCAGATAAATCCTTACGTGTATCCAGGCTTCACAGCAGAGCCCCCCCGAGTTCTCTCCAGGGCAGGTGCAACTCGTCAGTCCTGTCCCCAAATTCCCTGGAACCATGGTTACAAACAAGGCAACACTCTGAATCAGTACATCTCACACCTTGACCCTGGACCCATACCAGGTGGGAACTTGAGCAAAGCAGTTCTGGTTAATTCTAGGCCTGCTGGCACAGACACTCACAGCCCAGAAGCTACGGTTTGACCCCTTTAGGCTTTCCATGACCATAAACCTGTCACCAGCCATGACTTGGAGGCTTATACAAGAAATGTTAGTGACTAACCTTTTTTTTTTATTTGTCTTGTAGAAACATACATTCCTAATGAAGAGAGAAAAGACGAAAGTGGATTTTTGAACGTGAAGTCTGTTTTCACACCGGGGTATGGCAATAACCCAGCCCAGGCCAAAAACCTGACCATCTGGTGTGTGGCTCTGATTCCAGTGCCTGGAAATAAAGTGCAGAATATCTCATCTGAAAAGATCATTTTTTCCTTGGGTGAGTTGTCTAATGCATAAGGTCAGCACAGGGTGGCCACGATGCTGTAAGCTCAGAACATGTCTGATTGGAACACTTAGAATACTCATCATTTCCATATTTTAATCTCAGAAAACTCTCGCTATCCTACTTAAGATTATTAAATTTCAAAGGAGCAAGCATTTTTGACAAATGGGACACTACTGAAAATAAAAAGTAGCTAATTCTTATTTTCAGAAATTTCATGTGAATACAGCTTTTTTTTTTCAAATTCCATTAATGATAACTCCTAACTGGCATTTTGTTTCTTTACCATATAATGAAAAGTAACACAAATATATTGATGATCAAGTGAGATAATCCATTTAGGATTTTTTTAATCTTAAAATTCCTCCTGAGTCACCAAAAACATTCAATTAGACCCAGGATAATGGGTACACTATGTGTGAGATATAAATATTTCAGTGATAGAGACTATGTCTTAATGGTTTGGGTCCCACTACTTGGAATCACAGAATCTGGCACACAGATTTTCATGACCTGAAAATTGATATGTAGAATTATTCTACTTACTACAACATTTGATTAACCATATCAAACAATGGAGATTTTACTACATAGAAGATGTGAACAAGTGTTTTAACACTGTGACAACAGATTGCCTATAAAAAATGTTTGGAACAACTGTCCACTATGCATATGTAATAGTAAAGCAATACCTATGAGACGGAAATAGATTTGAAAGTCATTAATAAAAAACTCTACAGAATTAAACATCTATTTTCACCTTCCTATTTTCAGAGGTGTTGTATTCTACAACATACTCATGAAAACCAGAATAATGGATGAGGAAAAGAGTTTCTCTTTGATTCAAGGCCATGGTCTCCATCTTGGCTCCTTCCTGGACCTGTCCAAACTCAGGGAGTTGGTTCCTGGGATCACTGGGGGGAGAAAGGTGTGTGGGTGGCCCAGGCAAGGCCAGTCCCCACTCTTCAGACACAAGTGCTAGTCGGATACTGCGGCAGTAGCACCATCCCTGTAACTCTCTCTGAGTATGTGTATATAAACAAATTGTCACATGAACTGAACAGTTAAATTGTTCAGAGCAGTCATGGGTTTACAATGATAGATCCATGTGCGACTCTGTCTAATTCCTTAAAGAATAAATACAGCTTCTTTTCTGAAGTGTGGGTGCAGTTAGGGATGCTATCCTGGAACAGTAAATGTAACCGGTTCTCACATAGGCTTGTCAGTAGCTTTGGCAGAACCGAAAGACATGAGCTGAACACCAAACAACCTCAAACTCCACAGAGAACAAATATGTCTATTTCCATCCTAGACATAAGTATGTTTTAAAAACCATTATTTTATTATTTTAAAACTATACTTGCCTTGTTGTTTAAGGACTTTATTGTTTTAGAGCAGCTTTCGATTCACAGCAAAAGTAAAAGAAAGGTACAAAGATTTCCCTCAGACCTCCCCACACACACATGCATCTTCTCCCACATTGTCAACATCACACACCAGAGTGGTGCATTTGTTACCACTGAGAAACTTACACTGACACATCGTAATTATCCCAAGTCCATAGCTTACCTTAGGGTTCATCTTTGGTATTGTACATATGAGGGACTTCAACAAATGTATAATGACACATGCCCATCGTTATAGTATCGTACAGAATTGTTTCACCTCCCTAAAAGTCCTCTGTGCTCTGCCTATTAAACCCTTTCCTCTAACGCCCAACCCCTGGCAAACACTGAATTGTTTTTTTACCATCTCTACAGATTTGTCTTTTAGGAATGTTATATGGGAATCATACAGTACGTGTGTAGCATTTTCAGATTGGCTTCTTTCATTTAGTAATATGCATTTAGAGTCCCTCCTTGTCTTTTCATGGTTGATAGCTCAATTTTTATTTTTAGCACTGAATAATGTTCTATTGTATCCATGTACCACATTCACCTACTAAAAGATATCTTAGTTGAGTCTAAGTTTTGGCAACTATGCACAGAGCTGCTGTAAACATTCATGTGCAGATTTTTGTGCGGGCATGAGTGTTAGACTACTTCAGTACATGCCACAGAGCATGGTTGCTGGATTGTATGGTAATGGTGTGATTAGTTTTGTAAGAAGCCTCCAAACTGTCTTCCAAGGTTAGTGGTGTCATTGTGCAGTCCCACCAGCAATGGATGAGGGTCCCTGTTGCTCCACCTCCTCACCTGCATTTGGTGTGGTCAGTGCTCTGCATTTTGGTTGTTCTGACAGGTGTGTGGTGGTCTCTCATTGCTGTTTTAATTTGCATTTCTCTGGTGACATGTGATGTAAAGCATCTTTTCATATTTCATGTCAAATAAAGTATGCTTATTTGACATCGGCATGTCTGCTTTGGTGTGGTGTCTGTTCAAGTTTGGACCCATCTTTCAATCAGATACTTTTTCTTGTTGTTGAGTTTTAAGAGTTCTTTGCATGTCTTAATGGTTTTGGTTACCTAATATTTTAGCTAACAGTCCTCTATCAGATGTGTCTTTTGCAAATATTTCCCTCTCATTCTGTGGCTTGTCTTCTCATTCTCTCAAATTACTTTTAGTTTTAAGATTAGAAACTAATGAATATTTTTAGGGTAATAAGAAGGAGCCCTGATTCTGACACCCAAAGCACACAATAATTCCAATATTACAGGATAGCCCTGGATCTGGTATAATTTTAGGTTCTGAACAGAGGTTATTTTTAAATTTTTATAATGAGTTTTTACCCTTTATGATAAAATATGAAAGACAATAAATCTTGAAGAGTCCAGTTTCCCAAAATTATAGCTTATATTCTAGTCACATCTGACATATATCTTTATGAATAATTTAGAAGATGCAGTTGAGACTCTGTAAAGTAATATGATACATCCCTGTATCGTATTACCCTATTTGTTATAGTTCTTAAACACTTCCAAACATGCTTTCTCTGCCTGTGTTAATGCCACTGGATGCTGTACAAACACTGGAGTAAAGTTCTAATGTCCAAGAAGCATTCTTGGACAAGAAGCATTCTTGAACAAGAATGTCCATTCTTGTTCTTTGTCCAAGAATCATTGCCTTGTCAAGCTATTATCACTGACAGATATGAAGATGAGGGTACAAAAGAAAATTCTGTTGTCTCTAAATGCTAAAGCAGAGAAAGTCTGGAAATATTACAGAGCAGAAAATAGATTTAGGGAGTAGAGAGCAGTTTTCGCTGCCTTTTGTTCTCAAATAAGAGTAATAATGTTGGAATGCTGCAAGATAACATGCCCCGAGGTGCTCCCTTCCCCACTTATCCCCAATCTCCCAGGAAGTTCAAAGGCTCAATGATTTTTTTCTCTAGAACACTCAGAAATAAAAGGGGTCAAGGTAGAGGGTCATAAGTAGCTCGACAGGCAGTTATTTGAGTTACCAAGGCTTGCAGATTCCTATGATTCAATAGTTAATTTTTTTAAATAGCCTATCCTGTGGTCCTAGCTAATCAGAATGTCTAAAATTGGAGCACTGCAGTCAAGTTTTTGGCATATACCAAGTGTGTTTTGTTTTGTTGAGGTGTAGGGGATATTTTTTTCTTCTGTTTTAATCTAAAAGTTGAGTGTGAATACCCCCTGGGACGGGGAATAACTTGGCCAAATCAGCTTCGACAGAGATTTGTTTATTAAATAGATTTCCAACTGTAACTGTCAAAGTCAAGACCTTGGGAATAAAAAGAAAGGGAAGGGCAAACAAGTTGTGTGAGTGTGTGCGTGAGTGTGCATGTGTCTTTTGGGTGTGAAGAATTAAAAGAAGCTACGTCAATAATGGGATGAAAGAGCCATTGAATATTAGAGTGGGATGTGCCAGACAAATACTTCTTGTGATGTCTCCCATACCTGCGACTGATCTTGAGGTCCTGAGCATATCAATAGGGGACTTTAATGTAAATACAGATCACCCAAGGACCTTGATAAAATGCAGATTCTGATTCAGTAAATCAAGGGGGGTTTGGGGAGGATCTGAGAATCTGAGTTTCTAGTAAGTTCCCAAGAAAAGCCACAAGCCACATCTCAAGTAGCAGGGACCTAGAGTGTCCTGGAGTTCATTTCTAGGTGGACCAGCTAAGGGCTGAGTCAAGCTCTGAGGAAGCCCTAAAGTTGGCCCCTCTGCCCTATGGGACAAAAACGTGGGCACTGCTGTCCACTGCTGGGCCTGAGGGCCTGCTGGGCCTGCTGCAGAGCAGACGCACGCGGGAAAAGTGTTGCTGCGTGAGGCCTACTGCTCAGCCCCCTGACAGGTAGCCAGTGTGATAGTCTGAAACTTGCTCCTGTGTTTTTGCTAAACTCTGTATTTGAGTTTTGGAAAATAATTTTCTCCTATTAGGTTTTTTTTTAGCTGCTCCTTTTGACACCCTCCGAGTTTTGTTTTAACCAAAGCAGAGTTTCTACTTTGCAGGACAATCCAAAACCAGAAGGATAAGTTTTAGCCTCAAGTTTCATTTTAAAAGCTCTGTATCATTTTTGTCAAAGGGCAAAGAACTCCTGGGAGACTGGGGACAGGCAGGGGTGGAAGCACCTCAGAGTGCTCTTATGTCGCAGCCTTTCAACATTATTACTCTTCTCTGGAACAAAAGGCAGCAAAAAACTGTTCTCCTCTCACTAAATCTCTTTTCTGCTCTGGAATATTCCCAGAATTTCTCTACTTTAGCACTCAGAAGCAACACACTTTTCTTATATAGACAATACATAAATAAGTGGGCATGATGACTGTGTTCCAGTAAAACTTTATTTACAAACATAGGTAAATGGTTGCATTTGACCTGTGAGCCACAGTTTGCCAACCTCTGCTCTAAACAATCTACAGAGAAAAACACCTGTGCATTGTTTTTCCAGGTCCACGCTTCTGCCAATTAAGGTTCTTACTTTGGAAGATGATGCTTATGCTGCACCAGTAGTCAGCTCTGTACTTAAGCTGGTCTTTCTTCCAATGTTAAGAAGGAATATAGGCTCTCAATCATCATCCACTTGCATAAAACACAAAAATGCAAAGTGAATAAAGCAATTACTTCTCCTGGGCATAACCAATGAGTAATAAGGCCTTTGCTAGGGCAAACTTTGATCACATCAAAAAGATCCTTAGGCTTCTGTAAGTTTGAGAAAGTGCATCTAGGAGGTTTGGGGTGGGAAAGTGTTAGAAATGGCCGGCACAAGAGCAAGAAGTCACAGAGAGCAAATTGTGTTAGGGAAACTGGGTTGAACTATCACCCGTTGGACAAACAATGTGATTTGAAAGATGTAAAGTGTAATAGGCAGCACCAGGAAATGAAGGTGGGGGACGTGATAGGGGCCAACTCATGATCAAATGTGCCTGTCATGCTAAGAGGTCCACCTTGTCTGGATGGCATGGGAAGAAGAAGATGGTTATTTGCCAACCTATTCATATGCTCTCCATAGAACTGCCCTCCCCCACCTCCTCAGAGATTAATAACAAGGAATCATTGTACAACAGGCGTCAGAGCCAGTTGTCCATGCCATCTGCAGCCAACAGCAATGACAACATTTCCAACAAGGAGAATAAAACATAGATGAACCTAGATCACAAGAAGAAGTTCCTTCCAGTGTGCTATGTGATATCAAGTGACATAACTTAAATACTATATGGTTTTCCCTTAAAGTAAGTTATAGAATAAGACCATTAGTGTAATTTGTAATTAAATGTGCAAAGATTAATTGACATCAGATATGTGACGCTATTCCCAATGTCATTTTGTGTGGGAAATCACAAACACCCTAGCCTCAGTGTCTGCTCCCCATAATTAACCCATGTGTTCCTAAAATCATCAGATCCGTTTTGGTATTTGTAGATTGTTTCATATTGTTAATAGAAATATTTTATAGTAAAATAGTGGAAATTTTAAGGAACCAGCGTGGATATATGGTAAGCCAAATAACATATTTCAGCCTCTCTTTCATTCCTAGGCTGCTTCTCACACAGAGAGAGAAATGTAGCCAAGTGAAAGTTTTATGAAAAACAAAAAGACAGTTTAGAAAGAGCATAATACCAACAATTTCAGGTTCATTGGTGTTACATTCAGTCTCATAGTTGTATCATTGTTTCTACTCTTGCTGATAAAACAATTTTTATGGGGTTACGGATTTGTAAACTGTGTGGTTACTTTTCAAATACTTCAAAATATGAGCTGCTGTATTTGTGTTATCAGGTCTTGTCTAAACGTCACTTTCCCCGGGAAGCTTTCCCTGGCCCGTGCGATCTCGGCCAGTGCCTTTCCTTCCATTCCCAGGGCCCCTTGCTTCCCCGTCACAGCATCAGCACAGTGACTGGCTGCCCACCTGTGGTCTAGGCGGAGGGCTCCTTACACATGGCCCACGTCCTTGCTGTCCACCACTACATCGCACGGCCTCACCTATTAAAGGGCCCTCAGTAATGCTTTGTTAAGTGAAAGAAAAACAAAGTTTTTTGGGGAGGGAGGCTAAGTCAATAGCTGATCTTTCTATTACAATACTTTATTCATTATAAATCTCTGCTTCATCCTTTCAGGCTCAGTGAACCCTCCAACAGACCCTGCACCCACTGTGACAGAATCCACCCTCGACACCCAGCCTTCTCCAGCCACCAGCACGTCTCCTACAGGTAAGAAGCTTTTCATACTGTTTTAATTTCCATGAACTACTATCCTTTAATGAAGCATATTGATAGAAAATTTCAAAACAATTGTATTATCCATAACCATTTCTAACTTCTAATGTTTTAGATAAGCATATTAAGTACTATTCTCATGGCTTCCAAGAGTTAGCACAACTTCCAAATCCCTTCACTTGAAGCCCTGGCAAAATCAGGGTCAATAAGTACTCAGTGAGAAATTAAATTTTGTATTTATTATTAAATAGGTTAATAAATTGACAGTCCTCCTCCACAGCTGTGTTCTCAGTGGGGTGTTTCGGGAATTGGTTGTAACAAATGAAGAGCCTGTAGACCAGATGGAGGTAAATAGTTTTAAATTTAATTTTCTTTTGCTTCACATTAATTTCGAGCAAGTTGACTGGTGAGGACTGTGAACTCAGCCTCCCAATGGTGGTATTAACAGTGGAGGTCAGGCTGGGGCAGTGTTGCTATGGCAAAGAGATGACATTGACTTTCAGAAGTTGTCACTGATGCAAACAAATTATTTTCAAGTCCATGGCCTTGGTGTTTAACAAAGAACCATGGTAACTTTGTCTAATACACACACAAAAATATATGCTTTCTGTAGAGTAGAAATAAAGTTTTCATCCTTAGTTAATTAAAACTATTAATTTAACTCAAAATGAGAACAGGAAGTGGAATAAAACGGATGTGGTTGGTGGAGATGAACAGCTCCTGCAGCCACCGTCACAGGCTCAGAGATAAAGCGTGTGGCAGAGTGAGAAGTGCCCGCAAATCTCCCGTTTAGTAATTTCACATTCATCTGATTTTTCCTACTTCTTAAGATTTTATCATTTTCTCTTCAAGTTTCTTTTTCTTTCACTTCTAATTTATCACTCAGCAATAAACCATAGTAGATTATAATATTCTTCATTTAACAAATATTAGCATATTCAAAAATAAAACCTTAAATGTCTTTAGTACTCTATGAATTATTTATCTATTGCTTCATAGCAAATTACCTCAAAACTTAGCAACTTATAAAACATATATTGTCTCAAGTGGTTTCTAGAGCCCTGGCTGGCATACCTGGATTGAGCACAGGCTGTGAACCAAAGGGTCGCCAGTTTGATTCCCAGTCGGGGCACACCCCTGGGCTGTGGGCCAGGTCCCCAATAAGGGGTGCATGAGAGGCAACCGCATGTTGATGTTTCTCTCCCTCTCTTACTCCCTTCCTTCCCCTCTATAAAAATAAATAAAACCTTTTAAAAAATGGTTTCTAGGGGTCAGAAATCAAGGGCAGTGAAGCTGGATGGCATGGCTCAGGTTCTCCAATGAGGCAATAGTCAAGCTCTTGGCTGGAGCTTCAGTTATGTGAAGGCTTCACAGGGTGGAGGGTTCAATTTTTAAACTAGAGCCTGTGGGCAGGAGGCTTCAGCTCCTCACCACATGGCCTTTCCATGGCGCTGTGGCAACGTGGCAGCTGGCTTCCCCTAGACCAAGTAATTCAAGAAATAGGGTTAGCAAGACAAAAGCCACACTGCCTTTGTAGGACCTAGTCTCCAAAATTGCACACCATTGCTTTTGCTTTATTCTTTTTGTTGTTAGAAGCAAGTCACTAAGTCCAGCTCACACTCAACAAGAAGAGAATTAGGCTCCACTTTTTGCAGGGGAGCATATCAAAGAATGTGTGAGCAAATTAACACCATCACAGTCAGCTAGAAAATACTGGCACAAAAAACGTAATGTGGTTTGATCTTCTTTAATATGACAGATAGACAGAACAAGCATTATTATTCTCATTCTCCAGATGAAAACACTGAGATACTGACAGAATAAATGGTCACATGATAGTAAGTGGCCAGGTTAGTAGTGACACCAAACTCTTCTGGTGCTAAATCTGGTTCTCACCACATGAGATACTATGTTTTCTCTGTTTGATCTAAACACTGCATAAAAACAGGAACATATTTGTTTTGCCACCTTGCACAGACTAGGCTAGTAAAAAATATTAGTTGAATAAAAGAATTAATGAGAAGAACATTCCTTCACTATATGGATATCATTTAATACATTCTATGGTATTAAAAAATGATAATTTGTTCCTGCCTTCAGAAAGGTTGCAGAATACATGGAGAAAAAGGACATGCACACATGGAAATGATGGTTCAAAATGATAAGGTGAAAGGTGTGGCCTCTCACAGAATTACAATGCACAGGGAGCCCTTGCTGATGTGGCTCAGTTGATCGTCCTTACACCAAAAGGTTGGGGGTTTGATTCCAGTCAGGGCACACACCCAGGTTATGGGTTTGATCCCTGGTTGGGGCACATATGTAGGGCAACTGATCAATATTTCTCTCTCACACCAATATCTCTATCTATCTATCTGTCTATCTGTCTGTCTATCTATCTATCTGTCTATGTGTCTCCCTCTCGCTGTCTTGCTTTTTCTCCCTTCCTCTCAAAAGGATTTCCTGAATTCACAAGGAAAGCTACAGACCAATAAGTCTTAGGCTTTGAGCAAAGAAAGTTCTCCATGAGTTTATAAATTCGGTCAGGTGTTACCTAGGAGAGATGAAGGAAGCTGATTATTGAAGTGTGTGTTATATTTATTTGACTCAATTGAGAGCTTTGTAAACATTCTAAACAAAGAGAACAAACTGAGCAGTTGTTCATTGGCAAAGGTGATGATGAGAATTTGAGAAAATATTAGTGGCTAAGCTTGGGTCAGAAGGCTGGCATTGTGTGGCAAAGAAGCACAGATGAACATTGGAAAAAGCAGAATAAAGAGAACCTTAAGTCTTAAATGTTTTTCTTTAAAAAATTGGTCAGGGACCCCATTAAAATTTTTAAAGGAAGTGATGTAACCCATTTATTACATATTTACTGTACACTTAATATGTACCAGATACTCTTCTAGGTGCTGGAAATGCAACAGTGAACAAAAGAGGAAAAATCATACTATATTACCCCTTCTTCCAGCTGTAAGCAGAAATGAGTTTCTTCTGGCTGAGTTTTCTATGGGGTTAGTTGCCATACATCACATGTTGTCATCAGACCAAGCACTATGCTTATGTCTGTGAAGAAATTCAAGGAAAGGAAAAGGACAATGTTACCCTTGGGGACTCCACAATGTATTAGAGCTCTCGTATTAGGGAAGGAAAGAGAGCACAAGTAAATATATTTGTTAGAAAACAGAAAAACACTACCTGATCTGCTGTCACACTGTGGTGATATAGTTGGGAAATTCCTAAAGAATTGAAAGACTTCCTTAAAATAAGGACCCACCCACCAGGTTGGACTTCATGACTGTTTAGATCAGTGGTTCTCACCAAGGTAACTTTGCCCTCCAACCTCCTGGGGACATTTGGTAGTGTATGGGGACATTTAAAAAATTCTCACCCAAAGCATGTTTATTGATTTTAGAGGGAGAGAAAGGGAGAGAAAGAGAGAAAAAAATATTGATATGAGAAAGAAACATCGATTGGTTGCCTCTGTTATGTGCCCTTACCAGGGATCGAACCTGCAACCTAGGTATGTGCCCTGACTAGGAATCAAACTTGCAACCTTTTGGTGTACAGGGTGATGCTCCAACCAACTGAGCAACCCAGCCAAGGCTTTGGAGATACTTTGATTGCCACAATGGAAAGTTGGGAGGTGCTACTACCTTCTGATACGTAGAGACCAAGCTGCTAAATGTCACACAGCACAGGCCAGGACAGCCCCCACAACAAAGAACCATCTGGTCCAAAAGTCAATAGTGCTGAGGTTGAGAAACCCTGTTTTACATCAGGCTGTGATCTAAGAGGAGCTATTTTTTGCTTTATAAAATTTCAACATCTGTCAAGATAATAATAATAGATTATGTTTGGAACAATTTTCAGTCTGATTTTTATGCGGAAAAGCATGTTAAATCAGTGGTTGAGTACATCTAAATAAAAATTATATTCTTAAAATAATCAGTGAATTACAACTGAAAAGTCCAAATTTTGTCTTGGCAAGCTGGAGGGCAATGATCACTGGCTACCTTGGAAACTGGTGGGATTCACCCTTGTGTGTTATTTTAAGAAAGGAAATGAGCAAGATGGAACATGTCTTGGGAGCCCATTTCAAAGGATGATGGTTTTATTTCCAACTCTAAGATGTAATGAAGAGCATAATTCAGTTGTAACCATTAAGCTACTGATTTTCCTACAAACATCCAGTTTATATTTTTCCCCTCAATAAAAGCATAGGTTTTAAACAAATGTTGACAAAAATGGAAACAACATTCTCTGACCAGAGGAGATCCTTGTAACTCATAACAAACCTCACGAGTTACCCAGGGAAACCCAGTTCAGTTCTACCTGAACTAGTTGGTGTTTGCTGAGTCCCAGCTGCCTTTTCTGTCCTTGGAAAAGACAGAGGGCTGACAAGCTCGGTGGCAAGATGAAACAAGCCCGCATGGGACAGTCAGAGACACCTGACCAGTCTAGGACAGTCTGGGACAATACTGGCATAACTCAGGGCTTCCTGCTGCCCCGAGGAGCTCCCTGCACTGTCTGCAAGTTTTTTATTCAACAACAACATGCCAGGAATTTTTGAGGTGCTGGCAATATGGTGATAAGCCTGACAGGCAGGGCCCCACATACACAGAGTTTATGTTCTAGCAGGACCTGCTTGCCTAGCTTCCCATTTCACTGCCCACCAGCCCACAGACCCTCCTATCTTTGTGGCTGTGCACAACCCTTGGACCTGGTGATATCGTTTTTAATATTCAGCCCTCTCTCAAAACTTAGCTGGTCCCCATAGTCTGGATATTTCCTGGACACCTTGAGTAACCACTGGTGGGCTCCCCAGGTGAATATGCCTGATCCTGGGCAAGTGGGAGGTCAGAAGCTGAAAGAAGCAGTTGCCCAGGGGATGCAACAAACTAGTAATTTGTCGGCAAGCAGGTCAGAAAGGTGGGGGGGAATTGAACTGGAAACTATGTCATTGGATAAAAGTAGTCGAATACAAATCACAGGGG